CACCTCTCATTCTTCAGTCTCCCATGTTCCTACAGTTTTTTTGTCTCAATAGCTGCTGTATTTGCTTTCGAAGTTCATGAAAGGTTCCATCTAGTACCTCAATAGAAAGTAGATTATGGACCTCAGATGGTGGTTCTGGTAAATATGGGACTGGAAAGGGAAGTTACTCCTTACCTCTGTCTTGGAAAGATAATTATGAGCACTGATAGCTGGCTTGAAACCACCAAATAAGCATTTAGGAATGTTTTTCCACGTCAGCCATAATGAGTTAGAGCTCTTAATATTTCTGACATATGCAAGGAATCTACTTGGCCTGGCCTGAACCAAACATTTTCTGCTTACCATTGGTGAAAAATACAACCCATATAAGAATCTCATGTTTTGCCAATAGCCTCCACATGATTCCTACCAAAACTTGGAGAAAGGTGTGAATTGGCATTCCATGGGTATAAATAATCACTGCTAAGACCCTTTTCTTGTATCAACCAGCCCTAAGTCTGTAGAATGCACTGCATTACTAAAAGCAGAAACTAAAACTGAAGAAAAGTCAGAGTCCTCCTCCTTGTATAGCTCAGGTGGTTAAACTTTTCGACAGAGGACGGAAGTGCAAAAGTTCAAGCCACTCTTAGAGGCTGAAACAATCTTCACAAGTCTGTTCATCAAAGAATTTCATCTACCTAGCAAAACCGTAAGCTATTGGCAAGGGTTATATTTAAAGCACGATCATTGTGGGTGAGCGGATATGACTTGATGGAGCACGATTTTTTTCTTACACAGGGAGGGGAGAATTAGTGACACAGCACATGCGTGGCATGTTTTAAGGTCCTAGCATCTGGTACCTTAAGGGGAAAGCATTTGGGGTTAGAGCACCGGGGAAATCCTCTGCTTGAGATCTTGAGTCAGGATCTGCAGTACTATTAATAACTGTGTCTTGATCCTTAGGCTGAATTCATTGCTCTGCATATTGTCTAGGACAGGGTTGGCTCAGTAAGCTGGGGCTGCAGCAAAAAAAATATTGTGAATTACAATGCTGCAGATGGCACTGCGTTTAATCAGTTTTGCCTGTAATTTTTGATAAGATGTCACGTGCTCCATAGTTGCAACCTTAAATTGCTTGATCAGGCAAAACTTAAAGGTGATAATGAAATTTCTGCATTCATGTCCGCCTAACCTGAAATTGGCCATGGATAGTACAATGCCTGTCCTAAGTGATCTCTCATTCCAAAAAAAACATGAAAGATAATAATAGGTTTTCCTTTCAGGGCAATTGGCAAACCTGTCCCAGTGTACACCAGACAATTTTACTGCCTCCCTTTGTTTACCTGCTCCTGCCAAAGGGTCCTTGGAAGAGGAGTTTAGGAATAATCTGATTGAAATTAATTGCTTTTGTGTTGTCCTCTTTATTCTTGTTTTATTTTATTTTATATATTTGTTATGCCACCCTATACCCACAGGTCTCAGGGCAGTTACAACATAAAATCACAATATAAGAACACAAAATATCTTGTGGCATTTTATGTTATAATTCTTCTCTCCCTTAGGTGGTGGTTTGGGTTTTTTTAAAAAACCCAAAGCAGTTATGGGATTGACTCAGTGTTTTACCAGTGTTCACTACATTCTGGTTTCCAGAGGTGTTGTGTGATTCACCATTCGTATCGTTTCCTTTGGAACCTCTCTGTCTACCTTGAAAAGGCTCCCTTTCATTCATTGGGCAAAATACAGAGAGAATTTCAAAAAACGACTTGTTGAATTCTATGCTTGCAGTGAAATCTACCACAATACACAATGGATTGTTCTTTGTTGCATATTTTTAGCGCCACCTATGGATACAAACAAACAGTGTCGCGCTTAAGAACTTGCATGTTATTTAGGACAGGATTAAGTAAGGTATTGCGTGTATTGTTCAGCACTTGCGGCCTCAGGAAAAAATATGAACCACCTGCAACATGCAGTTGGGGGGGTTATATGTAATGTTCATATTAGTTTAAAGATAACCTTTTGACATTTCAAAAAATTGTTTCCTTAGTGCTTATTCACACAATTCTGCAAGACTTAAGTCTGGCAATGTGCTTTTTCTAAAAAATAAAAATTTAAGCTGGCATTATTTATTTAGATGCTAACAAAAGCTTATGGGGCACAAAAAATATCCTGAATGCATGGCTGACATAACTCAATCAATCTCCGCCACTGAAATTTGGGAATAATAATGATATATCTTATTTGCACTGGCAGGGTAATTTTAAAAATGTTTACAAACCAAAGAAAATAAATTACCTTTGATTGTATGAAATAGGGCCTGAGTTTACATCACAAACTCCTATCTTTGCTGCTGTGTTTTATTTTTGGTGGATGTACTGCTCTCCAATTGCATCTACACTAAAATCCTGGCTATCTGCCTTTTTTTTTTTTTTTACAGGGCAGCAATCACCAAAGAAAAGGGTTAGAAGAAGTTCCTTCTCTAGGCAGCAGTTGTGTCGCTGTTAAGCGGCCACCTCTCACGCTTTACTGAACTGTCTTAATGGCCCTATCTGTTTAACACAGGGGCAGATTTTGGCCAGTTTGCACTGGGCGCCAACACTAGAGGGCATTGCAGGACTTTACAACTATAACTGAAAGGTGGGGAGGCATCCAATTTTGGCCTTGCACAGGGCACCGCTGAAATTTTAAAGACCAAAGTCCGCCACTGATTTAACAAGTCACATGTTGAGTAGCAAATCTGCTACTTCTCATGTCTTTGAAATAAGTGGCCATACTGTCTGCCCTCTTTAAATATTTCATTGGTCCGATACGTAAAATCCATCCGTAACATTATTTCTTTAACTCCTGTTGTTTTAATGCTTTTCCTATTGACTCTTGGCAAGTTTGGCAACTGTTGATGATATTTAATGCAAGCAATTTTATTTTTATAATTAGCTTGAGATGGGCGACGTATAATCTTAAGAGCAGGTTTCCCCCTGTTGAGGGCAGTGTTAGGCTCTTTGCAGTTGCTACGAGCACAATAACTGAGTTCTACTTAATAAAAGCTTTCCCTTTGAGAAATAATTGTGCCATCCATTCTGAAGCTTGATTTAGCTCTCGTTTTGCTGATCCTTTCCTAATTAGTTCCCGCTATTGTAACATGAGAGGGAATTTCTTCCTTTCCAGAAATAACGGTTGCTGTATTCTATCGGAATACAACTGTTTTGCGTGCTCTGAGCTACAGGAATGTGAATTGGAAATGATACAGAATTCGTAAGATTTGTTACCCAGAGCTTAGGCAGTGCCAACTGGGACTTGTTATTTGAGGGCCCATCCTAGCAATGAAAGGAGAATTAACGTTGGTTTTGGGGAGCAGGGAGGATTACTAGTATTTACCTTTAATCGTATAATTTGGTGTGTATTCCTCAGTCCTATTCTGGAATGCTAAAATTGTCCCACAGGAATCAAGTGAAACTGTCTTGTTTACATCTTACAGCCTGTATCTTGTGCCAAACAGTTAAATGATTTCAGTTTGACTCCATTGAGCTATGTCAGTTATTGCTTCCGTGGCGCATTTCAGTCATCCTTACAAAGCACCGTTCATGCCCATTTTACCTTTGGAAATTGAGGCCCAGAGCTCTCCCAGTGAGTTCACAGCTCATGCAGAGCCTAGAATCGAAGTTCCAACAGGAGGTCTTATCATCTAATCCCTGGTTTAAACTGCCTCTTAGGTGGTATTAGAAATCAATTCCAGACTTTAGGATAAATGTCGACAGATGCAAAGGCTTTCCAGCTGACAGAACAGCATGTGAAGGAACTGTACAGGATTTCCCCCATAAACAAGGTGTGTTACTTTAAGACCTCATTGCGGACACCGAACATGTGAGCAGGACATCTGTGTGATGAATGCATTCTCTTATGTGGAGGAAAGAGAAGCAAGAGTGTTTGGTTATTTGTAACCGCTGCTTGTGCTAATTATTCTGAATTAAATCTGGATAAAAACATCAAAGTAGTTCAGCATCTGGGAGTGGGGTTCATATAAGCCATGGGTAGGCAAACTAAGGCCCGGGGGCCGGATGCAGCCCAATTGCCTTCTAAATCTGGTCTGCGGACAGTCTGGGAATCAGCGTGTTTTTACATGAGTAGAATGTGTCCTTTTATTTAAAATGCATCTCTGGGTTATTTGTGGGGCAGAGGAATTCATTCATTTATTTTTTCAAAATATAGTCCGATTCCCCAAAAGGTCTGAAGGGACAGTGGACCAGCCCCCTGCTGAAGAAGTTTGCTGACCTCTGATAATAGGACTCATATTTTAAAAAATAAAGTTTCTGTACTTGATAACATATTTCCTATTGTTACATAGATGTGTTTTTGCTTTGAAGCCAAAAAGTAGCGCTCGTGATAGCATAAATGCAAAGGGATTTCCTGCAGTTTTGAGACGGTATCGCACAACTTCATATGTGGTGTCGACCTAAAGAGTTTCTGAGGATAAGCTGCAAAGTTCCTCTGACAAACTTACTAGGTGGTCTTAGGCATGCCATCATTCGCTTCTTGCAGGCACCCACAGCGGCTACATGGAGATGAGAATACAATTTTAAAAGTAGAGAGCAGGCATAGGCAACCTTCGGCCCTCCAGATGTTTTGGCCTACAACTCCCATGATCCCCAGCTAACAGGACCAGTGGTCAGGGATGATGGGAATTGTAGTCCAAAACATCTGGAGGGCCCAAGGTTGCCTATGCCTGGTATAGAGCTATTCTAAGGATTATGGAGATAATATGGTGTTTTGCATGCGTTACTTGCATGCAGGCCTTGCCTAAGCACAGTTGAGAGGGGACTCATGTTTCTACCCCTGCTCCCAATGTTGGGTTGTTTTCTCCAATAGCAATAAGCTGCGCCCAGTCGTTTGCATGCCGTATATGCAATTAACTCCTATGCGCAGTAATGTAAAATATGTTCACTTAAGAGCTGAGTATTCTACAGCTTTCTCGTGCTTTGTCTTTTCTTAAAACCCTCTCTTGCTTCCCCCCCTCGTGTTTCTAGAGTCCTGCACAACAATATAAGTAAAGCTGACTAAGAAGATGCTAATGTTTGACCCTGTCCCCATCAAACAAGAAGCAATGGAACCCGTTCCAGTGGTTAGTATTTAAACATTTTTTTAAAGTTTCTGTTGTCATGGGTAATATTCTAGTCGTGCTGTGCTGAAACCTGCCCCCCGCCCTCACGTTCACAAATCGTTTCTTTCCTTGCAAACAAGGCTCCTGTTTTGTTTTGTTTTTTTACTCCTTCATAACCAGGGGCCTTTTGAATTTCTTCAGAATTTTGGTGGGCGTAGAGTTCAGCTTTAACCATCACAAGGTGGGCAGGAGTTGTATGTGCGTTTATTTCCATTAAAGATCTCTCTAGCGCTCTGCAGCCTTCCTAGCTGTCAGCACTTCCTGCGGCAGTAGTTACCTCACAGCATGCTCCCCTGAACTTTAATTGAATCACAGAGTTAGGCTGTGAGGGCCTGTGATCCATGTGCTTTCTGGTTTTCTATTTAAGGAAGAAGGACCTTCCTTTTACCTTGACAGAATCTTTCTGCACCAGATTCTTTCACAGTGAAAAAGACCACACACACACACAAATGAACAGGTGTCAGGTGCGTAGTAGGCTGCTTCCTACTGCTTACAGGAAAGCACACCTGAAGATATGGGGAAGCTTTTTGTAAATGCGGGCATCCAGGAAAGTTTCAGAGTGCAAAATCTCCAGAGGGATCATTTGTACAGGAGAAGAAACGACACTCCCACAAACAACCCTGAGCTGCTTTTGAAGTGAAAGTAAGTGCTGTGGATTAAACCACAGAGCCTAGGACTTGCCGATCAGAAAGGTTGGCGGTTCGAATCCCCGTGACGGGGTGAGCTCCCGTTGCTCGGTCCCTGCTCCTGCCAACCTAGCAGTTCGAAAGCACATCAAAGTGCAAGTAGATAAATAGGTACCACTCCGGCGGGAAGGTAAACGGCATTTCCGTGCACTGCTCTGGTTCGCCATAAGCGGCTTAGTCATACTGGCCACATGCTGTACGCCGGCTGCCTCGGCCAATAAAGCAAGATGAGCGCTGCAACCCCAGAGCCGGCCACGACTGGACCTAATGGTCAGGGGTCCCTTTACCTTTACCTTAAGTGCAAAAATAAATCACTGCGCCCCACCCATGAGAGCCACTGACTAGTTAGGATAGCCTCCTTTTCCCTGACCAAGGTTCTGTGTATTTAACAGGCAGGAATTCAGCAGGTTCAGTTTTCCTGCCTGGCGATGCAGTGATGCTGAACATCAGCTATTAAGGGCACAGGGGGGGGTCTCTGCATCTTTTTAAGTCTTTTCTGCATTTGGTCCTGTTTGCCTTACTTGCATTTCCCATGTTTTCTCTTACTGTCGATGTTTGAGATTTTCTGCCTGACCTACACAGAGGTTGTAGGAGAGAAGGGAGCACCTTGGCAATGTTCAAGGAAATGAGCTTACGGTCTAGGATGTTCTAGGGTGAGTCTGGTGCCCTAAGCCTGTTTGCTTTGTTTGCCTCTGTGTACTTGGAAAATAGTCGCAAAGGGGAAATTTTGAATAGAGGATTGTATGCGAAGGCTTGCTGGTAATGAGAAGCTTATACAATTAGATCATCTTTGTGTGTTTGGCTGCTGATATTCCTGCCAGCGGTTATACAATGGGCACTAAGATGGATATTTGTAATGTTTGTTAGAAAGTATCCAATAACAGTGTTCAGCTTTTGGTTCAATTTTAATTTTAAAAAACACTCTGTTTGTGGGGGACATTTCCGATAAATTCTTCTTTACCTGGATATATTTTAATAAATGCTTTCATAAAAGAAGTTTTAAAACTTCTCCTTTAGTTCACACTGTTTTGGTCAAGAAAACTAAGAACTGCCCTTTGGGAAATGAATGCAATTGCCCTCCTAAGTAATTAGTGTGGTTGATTATAGACCAAAGTACTTATTGGTTGCTGTTCCAAAAGATAACTGCTATGTTTTCCTCAAAGTAGCTGTAGGCTTATTTCTGCAGAGAGGCTGGAAGTAATTTGCTAGAAATAAGTGGGACTCCATCAGCAGATAATTAAAGGCTACCTCTGGCATAACATGTACACGAAGTTTAATGCTACAACAATGTAATAATGTGTGCATTACATTGCATTTTAGCAAGTGCATCCTTGTCTTGTCAGCCCATTTGTAGCATTCTTAAATTAAGTTGCCTTTTTTTTTAAAGGGATTTGCAGCCAAATTGGTACAGAGTTTGAAATTTCAGTGATGTTTAGAGCAGCTCAGAGTCCATGTGATGTTGACTGCACTTTGTGACTTCTGACCAAAAAAGAGGGATAAGCTTGCTTTGCATCACTAGTGTAGTGGTTTGTAAATAATGATGGATGAAGACCAAAGAGAGCAGTGGTATTAACAGGGAAAGTTGGTCTTCTTCAAAGACTTCATTGTAACACTCCCATCTGTAGCTGATAGCATCAGTACCAGGGTGTACCTCTAAATTGGCCTTGGATGTTAAGCGGATTGCAGCAGTGAAGATTTGGCGTGTGTTTGTTTATTATTATTATTATTATTATTATTATTATTATGTGTGTGTGGTGGAGAGAGAATGTGTTTCTAGTGAGAAGAGGAAGGAAGAAGAGGTGATGACTTTGTGGGGAGAGACTTCAGATATAAACAGGAGAGGAGGAGTGGGTGGGATTGTGCATGGTCGGAGTGGTATACAATGGTACATCGGGTTACATACGCTTCAGGTTAAGAACTTTGCTTCAGGATGAGAACAGCACGGCAGCAGCAGGAAGCCCCATTAGCTAAAGTGGTGCTTCAGGTTAAGAACAGTTTCAGGTTAAGTACGGACCTCCGGAATGAATTAAGTACTTAACCCAAGGTACCACTGTAAATGCATTCATACTGCTGGGATAGCTCAGTCAGTAGAGCATGCCACTCTGAATCTCTCAGGGTTGAGGGTTTGAGCTCTACACTGCTGCATTGCATGGGGTTTGGACCCTTCACGGTCCCTTCCAGCTCTAACAATTCTATGCTCCTGCGATCTATGGTTTTATGAGTGACAAATTTATTTATTTCATTTTTTGGATGGCTTCTTAAACCAAACCTTGGCTTAGTGTGGCACGGCAGCAGAAGGGATCAGGGAGGAACAGAGTGGGTGTAAAACCAGAAGCCTGTGTACTCATGCCAGCGAAGTTTGACTTGGTGTGTTGGGAGAAACCAGACCCGTGTAGCTCCTGCAGTCCCCTTAAGCTTTGGAAGTGGAGGGAGGAAGAGAATTTAAGGTGGCAAAGCGTGTGGTGTGTGGAAAGAAGTTCAGTATTCTGCCTTTGGAAGGTGGAATGAAAACTACCCTCATTTCCTCTTGCAAATCTTATGATTCTAAGCGAGAGCATTGCGTTTGCTGCAGTATTTGGCAAAATTGTCACGTGGCCCAACATTTTCTCCCGCTTAAAACAGTAGTTGACGTTTTTGCACAAAGACATGCTGTTGAGAGTGGAGCGCCACCAGTGTAAATAACACAGTTTTTAGCACCAGGAAAAAGAAACGAAGTTGAGTTTTAGCAATGCTGTAAGGGTGCGGTTTTAAAAGGTTTACCACAATCGCATAATGGCAGGACACACCCACAGCATTTTGTCATCTCTCTGGTGGACCGGGCAGTTTGGGAATGGTGTTACTACACACATGAGTGATAACTATATAGTAGATGTAATTACAGAGTCTCCTGAGCTCCACCCTGTTGACTACATGTGATGTGAAATAGTTAGTGTGGTACTTGTTACCTTGGAGTAAACAGTGCCACGGAAGTTTCCAGAAAAGCACAAATTAGCAGCAGATGCTTTTGCTATTGGAGTGTCCACTTTTGAGGCCTACATTTGGTGGAAAGGCAGATAGGGTACACCTGCTTTTTAAGTAAGATGAATACACAAATCTCCCACAGAAGAACAGGACTTACTGTCCATTGTAGAAGACCTGCATAAATCTTCCTTTTGAGAGGAGATTTGACGTGAGTTCTTAGTGATGATGATGATGATTAATCATCACCCACTGTATGCTATGTAGCAAGTTCTGTCAGATTAACAGCACAGTTGCCTCTTTACGAGAGCATTCATATCTGGGCGGAGATCACAAAATGTGACCTGTTTAGCTGGACTTTGTCCTAGGTGTGGACAAGTGGAGAAGAAATACGTCAACTCCCCGGTTATTTTGATTATATTGCTTTCCAGCTTATACATATTTGAAAAGCAATCTTGGTCAGGATAGACCTGGAAAAATCCCCGGCACGTGACTGATGTCTAAAAATTGGATGACACATATTAGGCAGCCTTCATCAAGAACATTCTTGCCAGTATTTCTGTATCCTCACAGAGCTTGCATATAGAAGTAGGATTCAGAGAGAGAGACAAAACGCCCTGAAGAATTGTTTGCTGTGCCAGAGAACATTAAGTGACATATTTGAATATTCTTTCCCTTGAAGTGCTGCTCCTTTTAGCCAGATACCCATCTTCTCTAATTATAGAAAAGCTACTTGAAAAGTTGCAGATGGCTACAAACTGAGCACTTTGTGCTCCTTATAGCCCAGGGTCTCCAAATTAGAGAATTGCTACTCAACATCTAATGGTGTTGCCTTGCAATGTGTATGTGGCCATATAACTTAAGCAGTATTACACTTATTTCATCACTCAATGGCTTGCATGCCTAAATTGAGCATATCTTCTGTCTCTTTGTGATCTAGCTGAAAAACAGAGCACCCGATTCTGAAGTTCATCACATCCATATATATTTTTTGCTTAGCAAAATCCAGGAGCTGGCATTTATTGGAAACAGTATACTAGGCCACAGCAGCTGGTCTAAACAAGCACCTTATCTGTGATAAAAATAGCTTTTGTGTTCAGCAGTAGTTTGTTAACTACTTCATACCTGTAGGTTGTTTTTGAATATTAATTAATCCAGTTTGTTTATTTATTTTGCTGCTGTTCCGGTTTGAATGATCAAATCCAGACTTAACCAACTATGCAGTTCTGTGTAGCTGCAATGCAGCCTCTCCGTGTCGGTAGGGAGGCAAGCCATGGTAAACCACAACAAACTGAAAACATGGTTAAAGTAAAGGTA